AAATTTTGACTGGTTACACGAGAATTTATCTAAATTTATACAAATTAGAAGAAAAGAAATTGAAAAATTACCAAAAGGCGAAGTCTTAAGCCAAGATATCTTGAGTATATTCATATGTGCTAATACGGAGCGAGATCCACACTTTAGTAAAACAAATGGTAAAACAAATGGTGAACACTCAAGACCTATGTCAGATAGGGATATTTCGCAACTTATGATTGAAATGCTAATGGCAGGTATTGAACCGGTAGGTAGATTTCAAAATGAGTATTTTATTATTTGGAAAATAGTACAGTAATAGTATAGTAATTTGACCATCGCTAACTTTGAATTCTGTAATTAATGTTATAGGTTGCAACTACAATGTGTTTTGTAACATATTACATATGTAAAAATCCTGTAGCAAAGTCTAAAGTGTATGAAGAAATCGATCGAATCTTTGATGATGATAAAACACGTCCCATAACCTATAGTGATATTGAAAAGATGGTTTACACTGAAGCTTGTATTAAAGAAACTCTACGAATAATGTCAGTAGTTCCTTTTCTTTATAAGCGTGCACTTAAAGATGATACGGTTGGTGATCTTAACTGGAAAGCAAACCAAGACTTTTTTATCAATATTCATTATATTCATCATAATAAAGCATATTGGCCTGATCCAGAATCATTTATTCCTGAGAGATTTTTAAATAATGTACAACCTGAAGAAAATAGTTATATACCATTTGGTGGAGGGATTAGGATATGTCCTGGACGTCAGATGGGAATGAATGGTGTTAAAACTTTATTTGCCTTGATGCTTAGAAAATATGATGTCAAATTAGTTAATCCTGATGAACCGTTAAAAAAGCTTAGTAGTTTAGGTACCAAGTGCGAAGAATTAATGGTTTATCTTAATCCGAGAAAACATAATTAGTTTTTTAAAGATTTACTGTACTTTGTATTCTATATTTTTCATTCTTAAATGTATCTTCTAACAAAATATATGAATTGAACATTTAAAACTATTTCTGTGAATTCTGTCTTATACAAGACGCAGAAGAATTTCATTCACGTGATCTTGATGAAATTTCATTTACTTTATGTAGCTTGAGTTAGGATTTAAGATTAGTAAAGTTCTTAAAAGTTGAAAAAAATTCTATATCGATATGTCATGCTTGAAGTTGGCACGAAAAGGGCCGCACGCACATGATCCAATTTTTTGTTGGGTATCCTCCAACCCAAATACTGTAGCACTGGATATTAAAATTTTATTAAATTGCTTTAGCGTTAGAGATAGGACAAATTAGCGATGCATAACACATTAGTCGGTGATTTTTCACCTAAATAATGCAGGCCGGCCGTAAATATGATGGATTTGTAAAATGACAAGGTTCTACTAAGGGAGAGAAGGCTGGGTGCGAATATGGGTCTTTCTTTTTTTTTTTTTTTGTGGGTTTTTGTCGAGTCAAACACCTCAACGATCATTAAAAATTGACTTAGCCTTCCCGGCATTTTTTGTTAATGCGTTTAGACTAATGTTTTCGCTTTTTTCTCGTCGGGCTGATCCGGGTTGACACGTGAGTTGGCTACCCGGATAACAGGAGCGACCGTCAAGGTTACACAAATTGCAGATCACTCCCGTGAACCTCCGGTCTTCTATTAGCCAATCAAA